CTCTTGGTGAGAAGTTGTTGGATCTGGTGAAGTGATTCTGAGTTGTGTTGTTACCAGAGGTCTTGCTGAAGTTGTTGTTGTTGTTGGTTCCTCCCTGGGAAGCAAAGTGTGTTGAGGGGTTTGACCCATCAATATTGACTGAGGGTTGAGAGGTGAAGTCCATTCTTGACTCTAAACTCAGCAGCATGGCATAAACCTCATTTAGTGTGTAAGGTTCTATTCTGGTGGTGACTGCTACTACCACTGCATTGTATTCAGCTCCAAGACCTCCAAGGATGTGCAAGATGTGGTTTGCTTCACTAACTGGTTCACCTGCAGTTCCCAGGGCATCACAACAAGCTTTCACTTGAGACAGAAACTCTCTCATAGACATAGTGCCTTTCCTCAAAGTTTGAAGCTGCAGTTTGAACTGCATCAGCCTTGCCTTGGATTGTCCTGAGAAATTGGACTCAAGGGCCTGCCAGATATCTTGGGATGAGTTCTTCCCAACCATCATAATGAGGAGATTAGTTGGTGATGGGGCTGTATAAGGCCATTTGAGCTGTTACTAGTTGCCAGGGGTAGTGTTGTTTGGCTTGAAGAGGAAGATGCCATAATGGCAGATCAGAAAAGAACAGAAAATAACAAAGGCCGAGAAAGAGGGTGTATCAGAGACAGGCTATGCACCAGCTCTGATACCATGATGGATTTCCAGTTTTTGCATTGAAAGGGAAAAACAATAAAGCTTGAGGATGAAAGATAATTTACTGTATTTCCATATTGAGCTGCTGAGGGGATACAACATACTTATAGCATGTGCTAGACCTGAAACCCTAGAATACGAGCTAATGAGCTTGTGCCACGTGCATGGGAGTGACATGCAAGTCTCAGGTGCACAGAAACACAAAAAGACAGCTAGCAAGGTACTAGGAAACAGAAAAAGATTCCAAACTATAGCATAAGCAGCTAACCATGCATAAAGGACTACTGTTACTGCTAAACCTAAACTAATCCAATATTAGATGATTAAGTGACTTTATCAGTCTCGTCTGGTGTCCTTGCTTTCGGTATATAAACTTGTGTCTTTGAGTCTTTTTTATGTTTGTAAGGTCAGGAGCATACAATTTCAGGGACTAGTCTATATGTTGTTTGGTCACATGATGATCTGGAAGACATCAAAGAATCAGCCATGGATGATATGAAGTCAGTAATAAGTAGAATTGACAAAGGTGGTGCGGGTGTCTATGTTCAAGCGTCTACTCTTGGGTCGTTAGAAGCATTGCTGGAGTTTTTGAAGACTCCATTAGTTAACATACCTGTCAGTGGCATAAGCATAAAGAAAGATGTAATGGAGGCGAGTGTGATGCTTGAGAAGAAAAAGAAATATGTGATAATCTTAACTTTCAATGTTAAAGTAACGAAATAGGCTCGGGAGCTCGCTGATGAGCTTGGTGTAAAAATATTTATTGCAAAAATTATGTTACCACCTATTCAATCAATTTAAGGCTTACATAGATAATCTCAAGGAAGAGAGGAAGAAAGAGGCTTCTGAGGAAGCAGTTTTTCCATGTGTCCTCAAGATAATGTCAGACTGCATGTTCAAAAAGAACGATCCCATTGTCTTGGGAGTTGATGTCCTCGAAGGCATAGTCAAGGTAATAGATTTTCTTAATCTTCCATTGCGATAAATTTATGTCTGGTGGTTCTTCTCTGCTTGGTTTTCATTAAAACACCTGAAACCAAATTTAAGTTCATTCATTGCGGAAGTTGTTGCAACTGTTGGCGTTGGTGCAGTATAAATATCTGGTTGTGACACGAAGTATTTTCCCGTGGCGATAGTGAGTCTATTGCACAGTGATGCTTTTGTTCCGATGTTGTTTACTGCTTCCTTCCATGTCTTTTATGTTCATGGTGTTGTGGTATCATCCCAAGATCATAAACATATTTGAGAGAAAAACAAGTTTCTATTACTCACAAGAATAAAAACACAAGAGATTTACAAACTCTAAACAAAAAAACTCTCAAACACTCCACAACTCTTTCTTGGTCGTGTTTCAACACTCTCAAGGTTGATTGATCACTCAAGGATGATTTGAATGAATGAAATATGCAAGCTATTTATAGATACAATCAAGCACACCCTCTTTGACAATGGTGTGTGAATAAGAATGGTTGGTGGAAGGAAGATGGTTCTTCATTGGTGTGCTTCAACAATTTCTTCTTTGGTGTGCTTATGATGTGCATGGAACTTTCACATGGCATGTGTTATATTGTCCGAAATATAGACTTTTCCTCTTTCAACTATGAGCATGTGTTATTTTGTCCGAAGACGACACCCCAGGCTATTGAGGGATGTTCGATGAGAAACACTGAAGGGAAAATTTTTGCCGGCAATCGATAAATTGTCCCAGGTAGATTTTTTATTTTTATTTTTTTTACTATACTAGTATAAATAGATAGAAACATCTGAGTTCTGAACAGTTTTCAGTAAAATGCAGTGTTGTGTGATGTGCTGAACCACTACAAGCTCTTGTATATTTATTTTTCTGTCTATTTTGTAATTATGGAAAAGTAGTAATAGGTGAGACGAATCTATTAAAATTTAAAGATTCAAATTTCAAGGTTGGTTCTTGATTAACAAATTTTTATATTGGCTAATTATTTTGTGGTACTCATCTATATTAATTTATTCATTTGTTTCCACACAATATATAAAATGTCCCACAACCTCTAATAATCTTTGGCTAATTTTATCTGCTATATTTTTTGTAACATTTTTCATAATTAGAAACATTAAGAAAATAAAATAATCTTACATAAATAAACATTTTTATTACAAATTTACGAACTATTTATTCTTTAATTTTATGTTTAGTTTGTTTATAATTTATAATATGTTTATGCGATCATTGTTTCCCAACCCGGACCGGCCGGCGGGTCGACCCATGACACGGCCGACCCGGAGCAGGAACCGGTTTGGGTAGGCTATTTGGACAGGGTAACAACGAACCCGGTCAAACCCGATCAAAACCCGACCAACCCGCCCTTGACCCGGTCGACCCGGTCATTGACCTGACCGGGTCAACCCGGTTGACCCGGCCCTATATATTTTTTTATAAAAAAATAAAAACTATGTAAATATATTGATGTAGTAAATACTTATTGTGAGATACAATTCTTTTAACACTTTGATGTACAAATTTTATATACAAAACATTTATTTTTGTTACTTTTATGTATATTTATATGTCAAAAATACTATATATATAATTTTAAAAAATTTAAAATTAACTATCCAGTTCAGCAATTCACCCGGTGACTCGGCGGTTGAACCGATGACGCGGTGACCCGGAGACCTGCTCGTGTCGATTTTCGGGCTAGGTTTAAAAACTATGTGTGTTATACGAAATATGCTAATATACCAAATATAGACTATTAAAAACATCGAATAAACTTTGAAATCTTCCACAGTATAAATAAAATGAAAACATTTCTGTCAACAACTAACCATATATATAGTGAAAACACAAATCTTCCACAGTATAAATAAAATGAAAACATTTCTGTCAACAACTAACCATATATATAGTGAAAACACACATATACATCGTGAATATAAACTACAATAAAACCAAGGGAAAAAAATCATTACACAATAATCAAACCTTCAATAAAGATAAATTGTTTATCTTCGCCTTCAATCAAGTGAAGAAGCGCACGACGACTCGTAGACTAGGCGGCGTCCACGACCATCCTTCCAAATTTTTAAGTTGATGACTTGATTGGATTGGGTTGAAGCCACTTGGTTGCGGCCATGGATGGTGGTGATGGGCTTCACAAGGTAAATGTGAGTTGATAACAAGGAATATGAGAGGAACGGAGGAAATTGCATGGAGAAAGAAAAATAAAGGAGAAAGGAAGAAAGAGAGGGAGAGAATATGATATAATTAAAAATTAAAATTAATATGTATGTAAATAAAAGTAATCTTAATGGTTTGGGGATAAATTTCTCATAATAAACAAACTCAGGTAATATTATGAGTGTAAAATCTACATCAAATGGAGAAGTATATATTTCTTCCACAATTTTTTAGTGTTGTTGTTCTTTTGTTGTTTTGCTTCTCCTTTGTTTAGTTGTTACTATGTAGCTAGATTAGATTAGGGTTGTGGCCAGTGATCTAAGTCCTTTTGTTGTTTTGCTCAGATAGGAACATAACCTCGGGTTCTAAGCCTTGTTTTAGCTGGGGATTATGGACTTATCTGAGGTAGTGGTTTTTGTTTCTAGGACACAGTTGTGTTCCTCCATCACCTTATGGTTGTTATGGGCTACTTAGCCCCTCCTTTGTACAAATTGTTTTGAGCTATAAATCCTATCATTTTGAAGAAAAAAAACGGCATATTCATGTGGAAATTAGGGTTATGCTGTGGAAATCAGAAATGGGGAATCCACCAGATTAGATGAAGTGAACTGGGTCCCATTTTTGTTACAGCCTAAGCCTTCTCTTCTGGAAATAGCTAGGGCACACATAACTTGGGCCAAGGTGCTTAGGGATGAAAACGGAAACGGTAATTTCCGATTACCGGGAATCGTTTTCGAAATTTTTTCGGATTTGGAGGCTAAACGGAAACGGAAACGGTAACCGGAAAAACGGAAATGGAAACGGTAAAAAAATTCGAAAATGAAAACGAAAACGGTTTAGCCCTTTTCCGATCGTTTTCGAAAATTACCGTATTTAAACGGTATTTTACCGTCGGTAATACCGGCCCAACCCATACTAGGCTCACTTTTAATTTAAAGCCCAATACAAATCTCAAATGGGCCAAATAATTCCCTTCACTCTTGATTTCGCTCGTCCCTCTTCTTGTTCTACTGGGCCAAATAACCCTTCGGTCTTCACTCTTCACTCTCGGTCGTCTCTCTCTCTCCCGTCTGCTCGTCATCGCCACAGCCACTCCCGTCACTTG